TTTAGTGAGTTCTTTCTTCAGATTTTCATCAGGAACCATGACCACTTGCATCCCAGCCGCCAATGCTGCTTTGACCCCATTGGGTGCATCTTCAAAAACAAGGCACTTGGCTGGAGATGCTGGAGGTTCAAATCTCTTGGCACAGATTAGAAAAATATCAGGCTGTGGCTTTCCATTTTTCACTTCAGGGTCATCACCCAACACGATATGATGGAATAAACCAAACAGGGGTTTGAGGTGGACAGTTTTCAACTCATAGGGCTCTCGAAGGGAGCTGGAGCCAACCGCGATGGGTATCTTGTGCTGGTGGAGATGGCGGACCACTTTTTCAACCCCTGGCAGTACTTGGGCTGTGGGGAACAACTCTTTCTTCTTCCTGTCAATTTCACACATTATTTGGTCGGCCGTCAAGGGAATGTCGAGGAGCTTTCGAAGGATATCCAGTGCTTCCCATTCTCTTCTGCCCATAATGGTGTCTTTATGCTCCCAACCAAATTTCTTCCCATAGCGGCCGCAGAGATCTTCCAGCACCAGGGTGTAAAGGGTTTCAGTATTCAAGATGGTGCCGTCCAAGTCGAAAATCACATGAGTCACAGGATGCAACGCCTTGGCACTAGAGGCAGCCATGGTGCTAAAATGGCATCCCTCTCGATGGAAGAATGAGGGAATCAACCACTTTCAGGCTGTCTGCGCATGCGCACTGCAGTCGCCCTGACAGCACTTATGAGTTCACTCTTGCTCCATGCATTCCAGTCAAGGTTCTAGAATTCAAAGATATAGCCCTGTTAGTCTGTAGAATTAGTATGCAGAGAGATCTTGTAGCACCTTTGAGACTAACTGAAAGAAAGACGTTGGCAGCATGAGCTTAATGCATCTGAGGAAATAGACTTACCTAAGTCTATGAAAGCTCATGCTGCCAACGTCTTTCTTTCAGTTAGTCTCAAAGGTACTACAAGATCTCTCTACATACAGTCAGGGTTCTGTCCAACTGGTTGCCATTAATGGCACCACAGGCCAATGACGTGCTGCTGTTTTTATTATTATTATTATTGTGAGTCTTCAAGTCGTTTCCAACCCCAAGGCAAACCTATCACAGGGTTTTCATGTTGAGTTTCTTCAGAAGGGGGGGGTCTCCTCACCCCAGTATAAACAAATACATAACTAGAATTGTCTGTGAGCTGCCTTGGGTCCCTTCAGGGAGAAAGGCAGCGTATAAATGAAATAAATAAAATAGAAAGAGCCATGATCTTATCATAATAAGGCATGTTCCTCAAGGTTGGGGTGATAATATGTCCTCACCGCAAGAAAGGACAAGGCACTGCCAAATGTAGGATGTTCAAGGGGAAGTGTAAGGCACGAACAAATAAAAGTTCAACACATTCATATAAACATATACTTTCATATGGTTTATTTGTCATGGGGTTTTCTGGGCAGGTTTGGTCAGAGGAGGTTTGACATGGACTTCTGAGGCTGAGAGAGAGTGACTTGCCCAAGGCAGGGTGACTAGATGCCCCAACAGTAAAGGAGGACGAGGCACTGCAAAACACAGGACATTCATGAAGAATGTGGGACATGACCAAATAAAAGCTAAAAACATTAATATAAATATTCACTTGTTTCATATGGTTTATCATGGGGTTTCTGGGCAAGACTTGTTCAGAGAAGGTTTGCCATGGCTTCTGAGGCTGAGAGAGTGTGACATGCCCAAGGCAGGGTGACAAAATGCCTTAATGGCAAAGGAAGACAAGGCAATGCAAAATGCAGGACATGCAAGAAAATGTGGGACATGACCAAATAAAAGCTAAAAATATTTATATAAATAATGGTTTATCATGGGGTTTTCTTGACAAGATTTGTTCAGAGGTTTGCCATGACCATTCTCTGAGGCCGAGAGAGTGTGACTTACCCAAAGCAGGGTAACTAGACAGTGAAGGAGGACACAAGGCACTGCAAAATATAAGATGTTCAAGAAAAATGGAACACATTACAAAATAAAGACTAAAACACTAATATAAGTTCATGCTTCTTAGTTATGCTCAGAATGGAGGACATTTTGAAATTCCTCCTGGACAGAAGGCTGAAGTGTAGGACAAGTCCTGGAAAAGGAGGCTGTCTGGTCACCCTGTTCAAGGGGTATTTTGAAAGGTGTCTTTCCCTATAGAATGGTACCCAGACATTTCACCAACTGAGGAAAAGGAGATAGCGGCACACCCACTATTACACCACAGACGTCAAGGACCATAGGACCCAAGACCAGCCATGTTATTTTGGCACCCATGACAGAAACTCTTTCAAGCCCTTCTCCATGTCACAGGAGGAAATAGCACAACACCAGCTGTGTTGTGTGTCTTCAAGTCATTTTTGACTTATGGGGACCCTAAGACCCTATCATGGGGTTCTCTTGACAAGATTGGTTCAGAGAAGGTTTGCCATTGCTCTCCCTGAAGCTGAGAGAGTGTGACTTGCCCAAGATCATCTAATGGGTTTTGTGGCCAAGCTGGGAATCAAACCCTAGTCTCCAGAGTCGCAGTTCAACACTCAAACCACGATGCACGCTGACTCTCTAGTACAACACCATAACGTAATATAAAAACATAAACAACATAATCGTTTCCTGATCACCTACCTGTGGCAGCCATTTGCTCTGTTAAGTTATCCCTTATCCCCTTCCCAACTTTGTTGCAGATGCTCACAGTCACTCAGCTTTAGGTACCAGCATGCAAACTATGGACGTTATCACACGTGGGCCAGAAAGCGAAAATAAAGT